ATAAGTAAATCTCTGCATTAGTGCTAAGGGGTAGAATGAATTTAACCTGTTTTTTTCCCCCCAGGAGATATTCATCTTTAGGAAAGTTTGGGTTGTTTCTGGAAAATCATACCTTAGACACCATGAGTCATAACTGCACATGATGGTGTTCACTATTGGGTAAGCAACTGCTCTCTATGTCTCTTGCATAGGCCGAAGTGGTGGCATTTACTGAGAATACATGAAAGGTGTCCTGTTCTTCCTCTTTCCATCACATGATGGTAATGTTTAAGATCCTGCAGTTAATGCCAATCTTTTTATAACCAACAACACTATTTGGAGCACACTGATACCAAGTACTCTGCATTCTCCATTCCACCCCTCAGAATACAAATGACTTGAAGGAGGGTCTTAGATTTCAGCCAGGAAGTAACTGTACCTAGTGGCTGGAAGACAACATCTAAGCCACAAATCAGCTCTCAAGGTTTCTTACCTTCCTCCTAGTTATACATCAAGTTATCAGAGATTACTAGAAGCTGGCCCTTTGATTGTAGTGAAGATTCCATTTCCTCAGTGTTTGTAAAAGATTAATATAAATCATTTATTTGCAAACATTTGCATGTATTTGAAAGTTTATCTTGAAAATGTCTTTACAGTGGTGCTCATATTCTTTTCTCAAAGGACTTTAGTGATAAATGTGGCCTCATAATAAGTCCAAGGAATTAATATATCCCCTCTTCTTTTTATTGTGTCAGATAGCTACAATTCAATGCATTTCATGTTTGCCTCATTCTTATGATACCTACAATATATGTCAGAATATATACATCATGATGTAATTGTTGTATTTTTATTGATGATTGATGAGCTGGAATTCTAACTAGGAATTGTGGTTCCTCCTACAATTTTTAAAACAAAAACAAAACAATGCAGTTCAGATGAGACAAAAATGATTTATTAAGTTTTGTTTTATGTGTATGGTAATTTTCCCACATGTATGTAAGTGTACTGCATGGGTGCATGGAACCCTCAAAGACAAGAAGAGGATATTGTAACCACTGGAGCTGGAGTTATGGATGGTTGTAACCTGCTATGTGGGTGCTGGGAATTGAACAAAAATCCTCTCTAGGAGTAACAAGTCCTCTCTACATCTCTACAGCCCATCAGATGGGATTTTTTTTTAAAATAAAAAGATTATACACATGTTAACTAGCTTGATGAATGTTAGAAATGAGCTCCAAGTAGAAAAAAATAATTCAAGAAATATGGGCTGACTAAAACTATGTTAGTGACATGTTTCCCTTTGTCTGAATCTTCTCTGTGTAGGGATGATGATATAGGCTAAATATTAAAGTGGTCTGTGTCTAACTCTGAACTTTGATGCCTATTCTCTTTAATTTTGGCAGCTAAGCCATCATTATTATTGTTATAATTATTATCATTTTATTCATGCAAGATGATGATTAAGGAACCTAAAGGGATAGAGAGTGAGAAGCTCCTTAAACCTAAAGAGTTTGTTGAGCATTTTATGTGTGTGTGTGTGTGCTTTCTTTATAATAAAAATCCATTTAAGAAATTCAGAATTTGATCTAAGGCTCAGTTTCATTACTATTACCTAATATAGAAATTATTGGGTAGTAGTTAACCATTCTGCAGTTCCATGGCTGCCATTATCTATGAAAAGTAATGAAAAGGTTGTTATCAAGTGAGTAGGCTTGGGTTTGTTTGAAACATTCTACCACTGGGCAATTTAAAAGTTGTTTTCTTAGATCACAGATCATGACTTTTGTGTCATAGGTAACTATCTCTTTGTGTCATAAACATGGTTTTCATGTACTTTAGTTTCTCTTTAACAGTGTCATCTCAAATCCTTTTTGGAAGAAGGTAGAAAGGCCTGAATGAATAAAGAAAACAATATAGCATTTCTATTGGGTTCTTTGGAGTTGGGGAGCCCATGGCTTTTCTTTTCACCTGTGGCTTATCTTGAAGTCATATAACTTGTGCTGGTGAGACTCAATCACACCACTGGAGAGGCCCATTGAAGGGGAAGGAAGCACAGAGGACAGAGTATGAGGCTATACTTCAGTACTGATTTTTCAATCTTGCCTCTAAGATCCCTTTATCTGAACAGATTATTTCCTTTTGATACCCAGTAAGGGATGGGACTAATGCAAAAATGCTTTACCTCTAGCTATGTGGACAGAGTTGTTGGAACTAACAACCCAGGGAGAAGCAGCATGAGCCAAATTCAAATCTAGTCTCTCATCCAAACATGAACACATGTGTTCCTGAACAGTGAAGGAGAACAAATGTCAAGAACCGATGGACACACCACACCATCCTCTCCAGGAGTTTCATTCTGGTCCAATAGCAAAGGAGTCTAGTGACTTAGAGACTTAGAAGAAATTGATCTTGCTCTGGTGGTTTTCTCACCCAGGTGCCAAGACCAGCTTTCTGAAAAGCCTTGAAGAGCTGCTGTTTAACAGACTGGTAGGTGTGAGCCCCTAGCTGGCCTCACAGTACATGGACGGTGTGTCTCCATGGCTGGGGATCCAGTGCTTAGCTGTGGAAAAAAGGGGAAGTGAATTCAACTTGTCACAGTAACATGAAGACTTTCACTAACAAAATACACTTGATTTCAACCCTTGCATCTCCTTCTCCATTGCTTTAGCAGTATGGTAGAAGGGCCTGAGGAGGTGGCTTTCTTGGAGAAGCAATTGAGGAAGACACTCAGCATTGACGTTTGGCCTCCAAACTCGTGCACATGCACCCTCCCTCCTGTATGTATAAATAAATATACACATTAACAAAACACAACAACCAAAGTGCAGCTATCTGGACAAAAACCTTTGCTTGTTTCATCAGAAGTGCAGATGATTAACAAATGTATAATATGACATATGACTCACATCCTATTAAGAATTTAACACTGCTTTCTTAGCTGAGTGTGATGACACACACCTGTAATCTCAGCACTTTAGAGGCTGAATAAGGAGGACTGCTGTGTGTTTAAGGCCAGCCTGGGATATATAGAAAGACACTGACTCAAAATACCCCCAGTCCCCCCAAACAAAAAAACACCCCTACACAAACAAACAAACAAACAAAATCTCAGCAACCCAGAAAGAAACAGAAACAGCACTGATAATAAACCATAGCTTTTTATATTCTTTTTGGAGAAGGATTACCAAGGTAGGTCTGTGTGCTAATGGTACCATGGCAGGCAGAAGAGAAGAGGGCTTTGAGTTATGCTGTTTGTTAAGTAAAAAGGCAGTAAAAATGGGATGTTATCGGGCTTCTGGGTCATAGGAGGCAAAAGTTAGAGCAATGTAGGGCAGGGAGAGCATATCCATCTGTGTCTTCAGTCCCCCCAACAGAAGGCAGCAGCAAGCCTGTGGTAGGTGAGCTTCAAATAACATGACAGGGTCTTCCCAGAGGGTTTGTGGCCAATGCCACCACGATCATGATAACATGTAAGACAAGAAGAGCGGTGCTTTCCCAGACCTTCCAAAATCTTTGGAAGTGATGAGGGCATGGGGAAAGGGGCCAGAGTGGGCATAAAAGAGGTAGAGAATTCTAAGCAGAACTGGAAGCGTATGGTGCCATACACCCACATCTGCATGGTTGTGGCAGAGGCAGAAGGTTACTGCCAAACTCTTAGGTGACTGTTATTTTCAACATTCTCTGAGTAGACAGAAATGCTTAAATATTTGTATATCTGCTATTCTACTGGTCAATATACCAGTCCAAACACTATTATTGGATGTATATATCATATGGGTGCACATATGTGTGCAGATGAACATGGCAACTGGAGGCCAACCTCAGGAGTAATGTTCTTCAGAAGGTGTCAACTTTGTCCCCATCTCTTCTCTAAGACAAGGTCTCCTACTGGCCCAGAGCTTGCTGATTAGTCTAGGCTGGTGGATAGCTAGCCCCAGGAATATGCCTGTCTTCGCCTACCCCATTTTGGGAACTAATAGGCCACTATGCTCAGTGTTTTCACGTGGTTTCTGGGGCTTTAGCTCAAGTTCCTGTGCTTTCATAGCAAAGGTTTCATTGGATGAGCTATGTCCCAATACAAAAAAAATGAGCAAAATACTTTTTCTTCATTGATTTAATTTTGATCTGTATTTTATTATAGTTGCCTATGCTTTCAAACTACACAAAAGCCTGCAGTTGAGTTTTAACCTCCACAAATGTAGTTATCTATTTATGAATGGAAAGAAGATTCTGAAACATTGCTGCAGTAGAAATGGGTAGCCCTCTGGGTTGGGGAAAATGTTAATTCAGACAATTACCATCTTTGAAATTTAGTGGGAAATTCCCTTCTCTTTCCTCCCTCCCTCCCTCCCTCCATCTCACCTTCCCTCCCTGTCTCCCTTTTCCCCATCCATCTCTTTCTCTTCCTCCCTCCTTCCCACCCTCGTGTGTGTGTGTGTGTGTGTGTGTGTGTGTGTGTGTGTGTGTGTGTGTGTTCATGCCATAAACGTGCATTTGGGGGGCAGAAGGCAACTTGCAGGAGTCAATTCTCTTCTTTTACCATGTAGGTCTTGAGGACTGAACTTGGGTCCTTCAAGCTTGCTGGCAAGTGCTTTTGTCGATTTAGTCTACCTTGCCAATCCTTATTACTTTCTGAATAATATTAATTTCTTTTTCTCTTTTTAATGTCTTAAAAAGAGGTTTATTATATTATTTTATTTTATGTGTATATGTGTGGGCCTGGATGTATATGTGTGGGCCACATGCGTGCAGTGCCAGCAGAAGCCAAAAGAGGGCAGTGGATCCCCTGAAACTGGAGCTACAGAAAGTTGTGTGTGGCTACAAGATTTCTGGAACTGAACTCTGGTCTCACCTAGAGGAGCAATTGTACCTAACCCATGGAGTCTTCTCTCCAGCCCTTTTATGTACCTTTTTCATGACATGCTTTGTAAACCAATTGGCTTGGCACAGTGTCTGGTGGGATTAGATGATCCAACAATATACTCTTTTTGTTGTTTGACTTCACTAGACACACTCCTCAAGCTCTGAGGAGCACATTTGGGTAGCAAAGCTGTAAGAGCATGGAGGAAATTCCTGGGCAGTTAGTTGGAGAAAGGGCAGTAACCCTGGGGATCAGTTTGCATGTCCTGTCTCATAGTTACTGCAGACAAAATGACATCCCATTTCCCTGGAGCTTCCTCTGGGCTTTAACCAGAACCTGGATACAGCTAATTTTCTTCCCAGAAAGGACCGGTGCGACCTACCCTACCATGTAGTCGTGCCCACCGAGCAGAAAACACGTGCTTGCAGAGCCGGGATGAGCCTCCACAGCTCCTCTTGCCGGTTGTGGCATTAATGATCTCCAGGTCGGCACTGCCCACGATCCAGTTGGCACTGAAGTGGGGAGACTTTCCTGGCTGCCGGACCTCACTGTTACTCACACCTGTCAAGAGAGAAATAGGAGGCAGTCAAGCATTCATATTCTTCAGCTCAAGCAGGGCTCCCGTGAGAGCAGATAATGGGAACTAAAGCTTGCGTTTGAGCTTGGGTGAGACATCCATATAAATACTGTCTTGCTTTTCTTCTTTAAAATTTAGTCACGTTGAAGTCATGGTTTTACCTGTTTGACTGGATGTTGAAAACCAAGTTCAACTCTGATGAGAGCCTTGTATTGGAATTCATTGCTGGGACCTGCTGTTAACCTTTTATTTGGAAGCATTTTATGGGTAGATTTTTTCCCCTCTTCTGTGAATGTTTATTGAATGGATTAATGTGCAAACAGAGCCATTTGAAAATTCTAGGAATGTGAGTTTATTGGGCACCTACTGAACACACAAAACACAAGATTCCTGAAAGACTCTTAGGCTTATGGTTTGGTTATGAGGAAGAGACCCTGGATTTAATAAAGGAGCCATGTCTTTAGGACAATCAAACAATTCACGTGTGAAGAGCATTGAAAAGATTCAGCAAAATAAGAATACGAATCCCTTTATTGCAAAGTTAGTAAGAACTCCAAGCCAGGCCTTGTGGTGCAGGCTGTGGCAGGAGGATCATATGTTCAAGGTTTGCCTGCACTATAAATTGCATTCAAGAACAGCTGGAATAACTTTAGGAGCATGTTGTTTCCAAATAAAGAAGAAACAAGAAGAGGCTTAGGTATATACAGCACAGGAGTAGAACACTTGCCTAGCACATGCAAAAACCCAGCAGCATTTCTGAGCATAGCAACACCATTTCTCAAGATGACAGTGTAGCACTAAACCAAGCTTGGGTTTTTATAAGCTATGGTACCTGTATGCCCCTTTTGACCCTCGAAGAACCTGGTATTGTCTAGGGAGGCTTCCAGGAATTTTCATAAAAACCCTCATTTTACTGTGCACATCTCCTTCCCAGTTGGATCATGTACTCTGATGTTCAGGTGGGACATGGCACTTACACAGCAGAACAGAGGACAAAGTCCTCTGGGTGCTATTTTCTGCTCAGCATGGCCTTTTATGCTTTCCACCTTACATTCTGAGCTCCAGCTCACCTCCTGTCTGGCTGTCTTGCAGTGCTCCTCCTTGTGTTCAGGACTTCCTGGAAAGGTTGGGGTGAGCTTTCTGGTAACTACAGTGAATACTTGCCCTCCTGATCACACCAAGTACCCAACCCAGCCAAGAGTCTGGTGATTTCTCATTATTTGTCTCTCTTATAGCTTTTCTCGAAGGTTATGTTTCCTGATCCATTACCTCTGGGGAGAGATCATTTAAATAAAAACACAGTTTGTAGACACATGGCTCAGATAAATACTGCCAGATGGTTTCCATAGCAATCCCATGCATAACCAATGGCACCCTTCTAAATTCTGCACTGTCTATGGTATAGCCCAATCTTTGCTCAGAGTCTCAGGGATCCACTATGAGAGAAAGCAGACAAGGAATTAAATCTCTGGTCTGTACACTTCAATCATGCTCTGGAAAGTTTGGTTTCCAGTCCAGAAGTCCTTGTCAGTTGCTCTCTCTCTCCATGCCTCTTAGATCCATCTCTCATTCTCCGCAGCTCCAATAGCTTCACCTGCATAATATTGCAGCTTCACAGGAACTGCATAAGTCCTGGTCCAAAGGCAGCCCAGATGGACTTCACTCCTATTGTCTAGTTTTACTGTGTGAAAGTTACCTATCCAGTTCTCTGTGTTCTTCTGTTTCTCTAGCCTTGAACATTAGACAGATGGTCCCACTAACAGACATGTTCAACCCATAGCCAGCTCTATGTGGCCAAAGATATAGCTATGGATGCAGCCCACCACAAAATCATTAACTTACTGTATTAATCCATTGCTGTGACAAAATGCCTGACAATAAGCAGTTTGAGGAAGGAAGAATTTTTTCCCTGGCTTACAGTTGGAGGAGACACGTTCCAGCATGATGGGGTAAGGCATGGCAAGAAGTAGGAGTGGGAAACAGGCTGGCCATATTGCCTCTACAGACAGGAAGTAAAAGGTGAATAGGAAGTAAGATTGGTCTATACAATCTCAAGGTCCGAACCCCATTTCCTTTAGTTCTACTTCTTAAGGGTTCCACAACTTTCCTAAACAGCCCCAGCAGGTGGGGACGGAATACTGAAACCCATGCATCTATGAGGAACATTTCACATTCAAGTCACAACACTCAAAACATAAGCTTGCTATTTATTTGTAACTTGTGTGATTCTCCCACTGAATTTTGTAGATGAAAACACTGAGTCAAAATTTTGAAAGGATGGACATATCTGGGAGCTTTTCCTAGATCTGCCCATTTATCACAGAATTGTGTGGAGCTGCAGGGAGGCACCAGTGTTTTGCAAGAGCACTGCATTTAGTTCAATGGGATGGCTACTCAGGAGCCCTCAGGATGTGCTATACTTAGTAGAGAAGGCCATGTGTTGGGAAGCATTACAGGTATAAATCACAACTGGAAGGCACACTGGGAGTTCAGGGGCTTATATTCAACTCCAAGTAAGGGAGTAGTTCCTATCTCAGCGGACGATCTCTTCAACTGTGAGTTACACAGTCACAGACTTCAGGATCCTCCTGTGTCCCCAGCTCCAACTCTAATCTTGGATAGAACTGAGACATGCTCTCTCAGTACATGGGCATTTAGCTTTGCCAGTTGTCACTTTAACAGTCCAGCTCTCAGACTGAAAGTCACCCTGTGACCTTCTGGTCATGGCTGGGCAATGTTGGACATTCAGGCAAATTCCATCCATGTCAATTCTTTTCCCTAGAAGTGATTCACTCTTGTGGCTACCCAACCCGAGAGCTGGGCAGGGGATACAATCTGGCCCATTGGCAGCCATAGACTGTCCTACTGGGCAAGGACCATCTCGGCGGGAAGAGACAGCTGCTGAGGTCAGGGACGACTGGGTACAAAGAGATGTGATCACTGCTTTGGAATTGTGAGCAATCAGGCTCAGCAGCCTGGCATCTCCTCCATCTCAGCAGGCTCCTCTCTCCTCCCCCTCCCTGTCTCCCATCCCTCTGGTATTTGTGCTGGGGTTGACCACTGAAGCATGCACTTGGGGCTTCTCCAAAATCCTAAACTCTGAACTCAGAAGGAAGCCTTCGAATGTCTGATGTCAGCACACAACCTGCCTACTACCTTGTAATTCATCCCACCCCCCGCCCCTGTTCTCTTCTTATTACTGCTTTCCTGGAGACAGCATTGAGCTTTGCCATTGGCTCTCAGCAAACAGACACCTGCCTTGGAGACGGCTCAGCTGTTGACTGGCTGAGTGCTGCCCTTAACACCCTTGGCTGTCAGACTCACAAAGACCAGACAATGCCAGGGAAGCAGCCGTGAGCATTCTTGTGTCTACACGTGGGGAATTCTGGGGGAAAGAAGGAACTTGAGGGGTTCAATGGACGGAAGCCACAGGCCAACACTCTTGTGGGACTCAATGTGAAGACAAGACTTGGGACTTAGGAACCAGAGAGACTTGGTTTCCAGCCTGTCTTTGGCCTTGGTACACATCATACATTCTCTTCTTTTGCTTTCTGATGATGACAATTTCATTTCATAAGGTTAAGTGAAGAAGAAATGAAAAAGAAACGAGCACTTTCTAAGAATCAAATGCTATAGTAATCATTATTTAAAGGAAGATGTGAAGGTCATCTCTAGTTTGCTTAGTCTTCTCCACACCGCATGCCAAAACATGCTCAGTTATAGGACAGAAGACATATCTAGTTTAGTGATTAGTTACCTAATTGTTCCAGGGAATGGAGTGACCAACCAATAATCAGAAGTCAGGATTATTTTTATATAAAACATACATTTTTGAACATTTATATATTTGTCCAGCATTTAATTTTAATACCTCTGTTGGAGTTAACATTGTCTATTTATACTCTGAGGCTCTAGTTTAAGGATTATTTTTATCCTATTCTTTTCCTGCAAGAACAAAAATCCTCTCCAAAGCAACCTGTGGGCATGGAAATCCATGTCATTAAAAAAATTTACTGGAAGGCATCACCCTCCCTGTGGAGTGTGTGTGTGGGGGAATGGGATGGGAGGGTGGTTGGGGGGCATGGGAGGGTTGGAGAGTGAGAGGGAGGGATGGAGAGGGAACTGGGATCGATATGTAAAATAAGAAAAAAAAAAGAAAAGAAAAAGAAAAAAATTTACCACAAAGAAATATTATCACTTGCAATGTTTACTAACTGTTAGTGCCAGAAGGACAATTTTGACAATGCTCTAATTAATGATCAGGTTCTGATTATAGTAAAGGAGATGGAGCTGTGTGCCAGACTCACTTGAATGTAATGTGCAGATTTACCAGTGTTCAATGAAACATATGATTACTGCCCAGAACAGTCACAGCAGTCTGGCTCCACAATCCTTTTCTGTAGGGCAAACACTACAAGGGTAGGCAACATGCACAGTTGTCAGGAGGCAGTGTCTTGGGTGTTGTATTGGAGTGAGGGAGAGTCTAATTACTTAGCCATTGGTCAGTACCGGATTACCTCTTCCCACAGGAAGGCCTCTGGTGCCATGATGATGAAGAAACTCTGAGCATGGCCTCTGAGTCACCATGAAGAGGCTGCTTTCTGATGTGTCCTTCTCTCATTTGATTTGCATTTTCTTATGTTTTAGGTGATTCTTTTCATTTTCCATTGACCTTCCCCTGCCCTACCCCCATAACGCCCCCTGACACATTCCTATACACAATCCCTCTGATGTGAACTGGCCTTTGAAGATATGTTAATAAGATGATTACGAGACACCTAGACTCTTCTGCTTTGTGGTCCCTAGAAAGACATTTGGTTTTTTATGAAAACTTTGTCACACATACAAAAAAGAGTTCACTCACTACATGCAGATTTTGTAAATTTAAACCAATACTCTAGGTACCTTTTTGGTATTCCTGGATATGGACACAAACAAAATCTTCTATACAGCTTGTATCTTTTTTCTCTTTTATTTCCTTCCC